TTCGCACACATCTTCCCGACCATTATTTTGGAACAAAGGTGTTCTTATCCACTATCACTTTTCTTCAAAGAAAAATTCAAACATGGTGGTGTTTAGCCGAGAAATTTCGTGTTCTCCGTTTTCTTTTTAAGTGTGGAATTTCGCCCTAAGTAACACTTAAGATGCGCCAACGTCAAATAGCTCTCTAGCTCCTACGTTCGAATTCTACTTCAACAACGCTTGTGCATAAAACACCACCACCCTCAGTAACCAGCTTTCGCCTGACTTTCATGGGAGTTATGAGTACAAGTTTGACAGAGTAGTTGACAAAAAAACCTTCCGGAGGCCAGAGAAAGGAATTAGTCACATTGGGTGTGGCTGGGTTTTAGGTTGGTGCTTGTTACTACTGGAGGAAAGGTTACCCTGCTTGCAATCTGACTGAAAGTTGACTGACTGAACCCTTACCGACATCGGTAGCAGCACCGGTAGTAGTTGCAGTATCTTGCATGTCTGATACAGACCTAAGAAATCAACAAACCCGTAAGGAACGTTAAAATCAAACGGTAGCTCCTGATGACAATGAAGCATGTACGCGTTTCCACAGATTCTACAGCGTTAGATACACCGAGCAGGAATTGCTCTTGCATATTTCGTGCTCAAAAATGTGTTTAGTTCCTTGTAGCGCTGTCTGAACCGCAATTACGGTGAGAAAATAAAGGAAAAACCAGCTGGGTCAGCTAAACTCATCAAGTAAACGTAGCACACGGGCCTCATTTATACCTACCAAAAGTAAGTCAACATCAGGGGAAACTAAGAGTTACCAGCCTTACTGTGCAGCTGGGAAGATGAATAAGGCGCGGAGTAAAAAAACGGTGGAGTCGGAGCATATCACTGACCCCACCGTCCAGGGCACCACTAACAATGAGAGGGAGCAACGTATCTCACTGAAAACCGACTTAAACCTCATTGGTGAAGTAACTAACAGACAGAGCTTCCTGTTTGATGGAATCGGTTGTGGGAACGAGCAATGATGACTTTGTTAGGATACTGCACTCTTAAACTGAGTCCTGTGTCGACCGGACGGAATTGTTCTTTCTTCTTCTTTTTCTTCTTCTTCTTCTTCCTCCTCCTCTTCTTCTTCCCCTCCTTTTTTCTATGACATGTGTTTGCTCTTCTTCTAGTGAGATAGGAATCACAGACTGGCAGAGAACTCAGATATGACAGTTTCCAATTTGCTGACTGCATTAGATTTAGTCCTTGCATCCTGATTTCGAGTAGCTGTCTTCGAATCTCGTCTAACGGGAATTTACTGATTATCATACCTAAGACACTAAGACAACAGTCATGCCGACATTGAATGTGTTATCAAACACCAGACAATGTCATTACAAGACATACAAGAGTGTACGTTAGAAGGCCACTTATAGTCCAAATAAAGAAGGAATAAGCACCGGGCATACAGGAACTCTGCATTTGGTGTCAATTCGTAAGACCTCATTTTCATCTGGGAAATCATATCCAATATCACTGCGGAAGGAAAACCGACGAGGATAAGGGAGAATGGTATGGCCATTTTTGGCCTGTTAGGCGCTTTCAGCCAGCCATACACCTGTCCATGCTACTCGACCGTTTGAATACATCTCACCGAGCAAATTGTCTGTGTTCGGAACCCAGATTATTCCAACCTGGATGTGGGGCAGGTCTGGCTGAGAACAGCTAACGAGTCAGAAATAGTTATCCCAGTCTCCCGCGTCCATGTGGGCACTACAGCCGCATCGCCACTCGTCGCTGTGCTATAGCCTGCAAGGCCTCCAGATGAAGACCACAGTGTAATGGGATGAGACGGGCAAACAGACGAATTGAACAGGACTTTATTTGCAGTGAAGCAAACCTGAGCCGGATCTCCAGCACAGCCTCGCCCCTCCACCAATACCGATAACCTTCCGATGACACCACGATGGCAGAGCCAAAACGACCAGAGGTTGGCATGTGCGTAGCTGCCGACAAAGCCAAAAAGCGCATACACACGTACCATGCACAAGCTAACCCATATCGACAGTATGTTATTATCGACAAAGACAAGGGAGACTGAAATGGCCATTTCTGACTTATTAGCAGTCGTCAGCCAGTCATACCCAACCCTAAAGTGTGGCACGCCCGAGGCTCGAACTCGCGACCTGTTACTTAGAAGTCCACGCCTCTAACCACTGGGCCACGAGCCCGTTGCCCTGTCGGTTTTTCGATCGGGAATATACAATGGTAGGGGACGCTCACCGATCGTTATTACGGAACTCATTCGTTCCGCTGTGCCTTATGGGCTCTCTCGCAAACCCAACCAGCAGCCGCACAGCAGCGCATGATACAAGCAGTATGTTGTTACCGACAAAGACAAGGGAGACTAGAATGGCCATTTCTGGCGTATTATCCGGTAATAACATACTGCCTATATCATGCGCCGCTGTGCGTCTGCTGGTTGGGCTCGAGAGAGAGCCCATAAGGCACAACGGAACGAGGGAGTTCCGTAAGAACGATCGGTGGGCACCCCCTACCATTCTACCCCATACCACACATATGCCAGACAGTGGTTCGGTAGGGCTCTCACATCTCCTTTTGGTACGAAGGTCACAAAAAAGGCAAAATTAAGGAGTCATTGAAAACAGCGTTTCGGTCTTGAGTAAAATAAAGTTTTCCAGTTAAACAGTAGCATTTAAAGCCGCGACTCTTAACGCGTCGCGATAGACTGAACTGCGCCAGATTTGCTATGGTGCGAATGCTTTGATGTGCTGTGAAGATGAACACCCTAGGTATGGCTTCACCATATCGAACGCACCCTCTCTCCCTTTGCCAGCAGCCTGTCCGCGTCTAACCAAGTGGAAGTGAGATGTACTCCGCAGCTGACGTGGAAAAAGTTGCCGTATATCGCCTGCCACAGTCCACATGGCCAGACTTCACCAGATGACATGGTTCTCACGTAGGTGAGATGTGCACATTCTCGCATACGACGTCTCCACCGTCGCACTGACGTTGGCGATTTGCATCACGCGAGTGTTGCGTGCGTGAGGACTGATGTGCTGTTGATAGTTGCTCTGTGCACGCGTGTGACCGAGAGGGCACATGTGGCTTTGTGCGCAGGTGTGACTATGCTTTGTTATGGTCTCTGACCTGTGTGATTTTACTGAGGGATTTCGTGCAGGCGCATGTGATCGAACAAACACATGCGGTGTCTGAATTCACTCGAAGAGTGCGAACCGCCATATCATGAGTAGCGTCGGAAGCCCGGATTCCGCGCATTGTTTCAGCGGTCATTATGTTATGGCATTACAGCTGACCAGTCAGACCGACGCGTGATCTGAAAATGCGATCGAATTTGGGCCAGGCTGAACTGAGTCTCCAGTGTAGCTGCTGCTGGTGGTGGTGTTAATGGTGGACATATGTGGTGAGGAGGTGGGTTTGACGGGTTGACATTGTCGTGAATCTTAAGGTGTCGCATGAGGTCAATCCTTCCCCCGAGAGTCACTCAACAATGCGGACACCATGTCAGAGGTGGATGGTAGCCTCATTGTTTCGAGACGCCTCGATTTCGCGCGCCGCGGTTTCACTCCTATAAATTCTACTTGATTGGTTGGCCTCGGAGATGGCTACGTCAGTCTTTACAACAGTAATAGGGCTGCCGACACTGTGCGAAAGATGCCCAGATTCCGGGATTGATTTGAAGCTGCCCTAGTGAAGTGCCCCTTTATCGTCGCTTTTGCCAGCCTTGCCTGCTAGCAACCGAAGCTGTTTGATGCATCTTTCGAGCAGTTTATATAAACATATAGTAATTATAGTACAGGTACATTCTAGAAAACATGCCAAATCCGTGTATTACATAGTTCTTTGTTCCGCAAATATTCCCATTTTACACTTGAAAAGTCAAGTTGGCAAACACGTGTTTTCGGTAATTCTTCGTCAGGCCAATACAATTACATGAACGAATGAAAATGTACAAAATCAACAGTGTTTATAGATGCCTCAAGGGCAATTAAGTCATTAACACTCGTCATCCCCACGCCACCCACATGACAAGGTCGGCGAGTGTTGGTCCTCAGAGCTAGGGGAGGGGAGTAAGAAAGTCTTTGAGTGATGTTCTTGGATTGAGTATTCGGAGTACACATCACTGTAATTAGGGATTTGAGGCGGCATGGCGTCATCACTTGGGGTTGGCGTTGGCCACGGCAGAGAGAGAGCGCGCTTGTGTCAACGCGAACGTAGCCAACGCCAACCTCAAGTGATGACGACATGCCGCCTCAAATCCCTAATTACAGCGATGGGTACTCCGTGTACTCAATCCAAGAACATCACTCAAAGACTCTCTTACCCCCGTTCATCTTTTTCGGCAGACATGTTATAGTTATGGATCCCTAGTAGCTTTGCGGTAGCCTGTGTGAGTTGTAGACTCACAGCGTCGAGGCAACCCGGTAATGCACACTTTTGCCCTGTGGTCCGGATAGATGGGTGCAGGCCACCAAATACTCCCGACCTTATCCGACATGACGCGAGCTCGTTAGTTCAGTAACTACATGGTTACTCAGTGACCCTCAGGCTCTTCCTTGGACGTAAACGACGAGAGCCGCTGTTGTCTGGGGCGGTGGCGACCGGTGCATTAGCATGCTTTTGGGGTAGCTGATATGCACGACATCTATTTCACGTCCTTATCATCCTCGATATAGTGAGGAAAAGTCAGGATGTAGGGGGAGCTTGCCCCAACCCTTCACGAACTAGTCTTTAGCGAAATAGCCTTCAGTGTCGCTAATGAAGGTGCCGTAAAAGTTACGTTAAGGACCGGCCATTCTAAACTGATCCGTCGTTCTACGTAAGACAGGGTTATTTCATCGGTCTTCATCTTGCTAAGCCACGACTCTTAATGCGTCATGACATTTAAAGTGTGATATAATGTTTGGTGAAGGCAATAGGGGTCGAAGTGTACTCACCCCCCTCCGTTTGCAGTGCCATCAACGCTCCCGAATCAGGGTGACTGGGGACTAGACTGGACGCAGTGACTGACAGGGTCCGAAGGCTTCGTTCAGAGCGCGCCACACGATGCGTCGCCCCTCATTGACGACAAACTTCGCCGAATCCAAAATATCGTCGCCTATGAGCGTGTGATTGAAGAGGTCAGTACAGTGGCGAAGAGCGCCGGCCAGTGCCGGCAAATAAGGAGGACCTGGCCGGTACTCATGGAGACCCCAGGCGATAGCTCCCCAGTCATGCTGCGATGGGTTCGCAGATATCCCATCAGGTCAGCAGTAAATACTTTTTGACAAGCAAACATCTCAGTGCGCGGCGACAATCTAGGTGTACTTGAGCAGGCGGGGCGGATCTAGCAGTGAGTTTTCATGACAGACGGCAGAACTGTGCCGGGGTGCCAGACTAACTTGCCTTTTACTGTCTGGTCACATTTCTTTAACTGTATCGCTTGTTTTGATGAGCAGACGGGACCTTGTAGGAGTTTCTCCGCGCAGCACGTGTGCTAGATAATGAGGTTGAATGGACAAGCGTACGTGACCACTACTCTTTTAAGGAAGGTAATCGTCCTGCCGGTTCCGCGTAAGTGCCTGAGGACCTGTGGTTAATTTCAAGAAAGTTGTGCGAATTCTTTAAAGCCTCTTCTTATGATTGCCTTTGCTTGCTTTGCCCAGTAGTGCCTTCAGAAACGTTACCATATATGAGCCGCTTAGGCAGACTTTCAAGAACCGTCCTCACGATGTGGCCGCTCCGCAGAATTTGAGTGTGTTTCAGCATGACATAAGTACCAAGCATATCGACAGATTCCAGGATCCCTTCCTACCTCTCCAGTTTCCTTTGAAGAAGGTTTAAATGAGAATTACTTGGCTATATTGTGTGGCGTTGGAAAAATGCCCATGTGTACATTCCGTAAAACGACGTGTTCGGGAAGACAGCTATATATATCTTCATTTTCTTGTTGTTAATGGTGTCACAGAGATTACGTACCGGGTATTGCAGCCTCATGGAAGCCTAGCTGACTTTAGGGACCAGATGGAAGATCTCCTCGTTGATTTCGATGTTTATTAAAGTGGTGCGAAATAGCCTATGGCTGAAAAACAGTCGTTCGCAATTACAGTGCATTCGATGTTTTCTTCGGTTGATGCATTCGCTGCGTGTCCGCCTTAGTTGTGCTGTTCGGTGCGCGGTCAACCATGAATAGAGCAGTGAATCGTGGCCCTGAGTACCCTCTTTTCAACAAAGAGCAATAGGTTGAAGAGTGTGGAAACGGATATGAAACTCCTTTTTTTTCCATTTGTCACCGCGAAGGTTTTCTAGTTTGACCTGCTGTCCACGACACCTGCCACCATTCCATCCTGTGGTTAGTTGCTTTATTGCATGAGTCACTCCGAACATCCAAGTTTTAAATATATTTTCTGTAATCCGTCTTGGTTCACGGTATCGCAGACCTTTGTGGGATCGACGAAGACGGTGCGCATGCTAGTTCTGAGATTCTAAAATCTTTCCTAAAATTGCCGCGCAATAAAGGTTATGCCGGGTGTTTCACAGCATGTCCGAAATTCCTGATACTCACCAGTATTTTTTGAAACCTTTTGCCTCTTGAAGGAGTTAAAAGCTGACTTTGCCAAATCAAATGCTTAAGAGAAGGCATTTTTAGATGCCAATGAACGTCACTCGAAAATAACATTCCGCAACTTTGAGGGTTAAGAACGTTAGAAATGAATTACAGGGTGAAATTGCCTGCGGAAGTGCGTAAAAGTGTCTGTGTGGGTGTATATGGTCACCACCGGATCAGTTGGTGGTAATTTCAGTCTGTGACACTGCAAGCTTGCTACGAACCTGGGCAGACAGACCAACAAGTCGATGCAACCGGGGAAAGCACCGTGTCTGCTCAGCGGGCATTGACCATAAAAAATTAGTACGGACAAGGCAATGGAAGAATGACAATAAATTTGGCGGATGCAGGTGAACCATCTTTTGTCGATGTTGCGACCTGCCATACTGACAACCGCATTCGAAAAGATCGCAGGTCGTTAAATGTCCATCGTACTGACGAAGGCAAAAAGCACCACAAATCGATGAGTCGACCCTGAGGGAGATACACACCATCGACAGACCGAAATGCGGCACAGAACGTTGCAAAGTTCGGCACTGTTCGCAGTGCTGGAAAGAAGGGCTGAGGACTGGCCATCCCAGTCTGCTTTGGGAGTCTTGGAGGAGAGCAGGAAAAAACACGTCGTTCGTCATTCTGCAAACGCAGTCAAAATATCCCCGGTCGATTTGAGTTTAGACGGATTTGTCAGTGGCCCTGATTTGTAGTCTCTCACAAGACTAGCGTTTACAGCGTGCATATACAAGGGTTATAGGCTAAAATTCCAGATGGTTTTGGTGTTTCCGGACCAGATTTACAAAATGAGTTTGGCAGGAAGTGAAAGACGTGGCAAAAGACATTCGAAAGGCGACATTCCAGGAGATAATCATATTCCTTTTGCAGTTCAATCCGTTAAGCAGCGAACAACTTCAACTCGGCCCCAGGTACAGTTAGTGACCTAACTCATGAAATGTGTCGAAATTTACGAACGATTGCCAATCACTCGCAAACCGACACCATTTCATGAGTCCAGTGTCTATGTCAATTAAGTACAAGCTTAAAAGAATTAAAAACATAAAAGAAATATTAAAGACAGTGTTGCGTTGTTTAGAAATGCCGTTTTTAGAAAAGCGCAATGTACCGAAAACGTCAGAAATGGCTCTAATTTAGTAAACTTCGGTTTTAGATGTATAGAATGTATACCCATAACAAAAACGTAGAAAATATGAAAGTAGACATAAAATAACGTCTAATGACAGTGTTTTAGTGTAGTTTACATCTAAATATCGTTTAATTCTTGGTTTGAACTCATGTATGACGGATTGTTAACTACCTACATTCTGAGTGTAGATTCCAAAACAGTTTTCCAGCGTTTTGTGTTATCCTTGTGTATTTTCAGTTAAACGAGATGAGATTTAACAAGAGAAATGGGATTTTGCTTGATTTCGCCGATGGAGACGTCGTAGGAACAAAAGGTTTCATAAGGTGACATGCCATAAAGACAGATTCTGAAATACCTGTCTGTTGGAAACTGTAAAATAAGATTATTTTTGAAGGCATTTACCGAAATAGTGAGTGTTTGGGCGCTCCTTTTCACGAAGATGATCGTTTGGGTCAAATGTGAAGACTCATTCAAACGTTCATTTTCGAGAAAAATGTCTGTCCACAACGAAAGTCAGCAACGAATATGCCTTTGATCAACAAAACAACTCTCCTCAATAAGTTACCTCTTTATAAAGTGCTTTATTACTACACTCCGTTGACGGATCTCTGTGTGCTTTGCATTTTTGCACGTTGATACCAAGTAAAAATTTGACACTTTTGGCCGTTTCTTTCGCGTTCCTAAGAAATACCGATATTTTTCTACCGTGAACGTAAGAACATGCCTTTCTCTATATACTGAGGCCATTTCCACTGTTTTTGCTCGCTTTTAGACTCCGTTCTTCGATTATAAATGCACGGCAGAATGCCCATATAAATACTGATATTTTGCTGAAACTATAAATGTTTTGCTCGTTCTGTTTGTAAATACGATATGCACAGAAGCTTAACTACACGACAATTTGTGTTTCATATGTTTGAAGCTGGAAATGACCATTCCGTAGTGGTCATCTATGTTACATCGGGTAGAATTTTCCAAACGGCAAAAAATTTCAGCCCACTTAAACAAAGGAATTTCTATCTGCGTTATTACTGTACTTTAGGGCACAAAATTGCACAGATCTGCTAATTTGACATATAGAAATTGATAAAACCTCTGGTTTTCTTAAAATAATCTTTGTTTTGGCAGGTTGATCACCATGATTTACATTGGACATAAAACAAAATTTATAGTCCGGCTAAATCTGCGTATTAAAACTCTCGCGGATAAATTACTATCCTTTCAATAAAAAAAGTCGCTCAGATGCGTAACCGGAATCTAGGACATGTATTAGCATAGGAAATTGCACGAATATATTCCAACGTCCATTTTCGCTAAAATTTACTGATATTTTACTTGATATAATTACGTAAACGCAAGCTCTGCACAAAAGGACATTTTATTGAAGGAAGTGGATGGGCGAACAAAATGCTCAATGTTAAAGGCGTCCAGAAATTCTCTCCTCAGCTTCCGTTATCAGATTTCATGAGGAAGGTCACGTACTGTATGTACATAACATCTGTTTGGTTTAGGCGACAGCCTAATAACGACGACAGAGGAGGGCGTTGACAAAAACTTCCGCCTTCGCTCAAGTTACCTATCCTCGTGCTTTATTCAAAAAGGACAAGCGAAAGAACTAGCAGCAAACGAGCTGGGGTTGATGTACGTGGACCTATTTTCCGACAAAGAACTGATATGTCCGGACTAATGATACCAGTCATATGAGAAGGAACTAATAAGCCACAAGTGGCGGCGCCATTCTTTATTGTCATTTCTCACAAGTTATTTTAGCACATAAAAGGCATACCTACCTGAGATCTTCCAGTTAACAAAGTGGTAGTTGTGTTCTTTGTGGTCAAACAAGACCCTCCTACGGAGACAGAGCAACCAAAAAGTAGCCTACCATTCAAAAACTTTTACGGCACTAACCTCCCCTTAGTGTGCTTGAGATCTTAAAGATTTTCCTGGGGAACTTATTATGGAAAAGCTCACGAAGGAGTAACTGGGAGGATTTAATTCTAAATCGAAGAACTGCACTCAACTGTTCTACCATGGAGGGCGCGAACGCCTCTCCCGTCAGGAATCCGTCCACGAAACCAGACATTCTTAGCTCAACACCCACGAGCTCCCGCCAGTAATAATAAACAGTCATACGACAGGCTACGAAACGTTACCAACCCAGGAAAGCCTGCCAAAAAGCGCGAGCACGAACTTAAGTTACCAGGTAGCTCCCTTAAGCCTCGGCCAGAATGAGTGGGGAGTCAAGGGCTATACAAGCGCACTACTTTGCAGCAGTACAGCTTGTCTGTTGTGAAAGCTCCCATCGCTGCAGGAATGCACAATCTCGACGCCATTATGATGGTCAAGCACCATTAATTCCCCGCCATACATGATGGGATTTGTGGGTACTTATCCTTCAGCAGAAATAAAGCGTTGCGTATCATGTGGTCAGTCTGGTTAGGTACGTGCCTTGGTCTCTTGAGCTTTCAAATGTGACACTTCCATGTGAGAAATCCCTTGTTGTAGTTAACTACCAGGCATAATTTCATCGCAGCAGTGGAGCTGAGATAAAAGCACAATCCCTAGGGAGATTAAAATTCGAGGGAGACAAGCCCACTTGAAGGGCGTGCGTATTCGGGGGGTACAGAACTCAGGCGTTTTGATATGCACAACAGAGCTTATAAAGGGAATGCGAGAGCGCTAAAAGGCAGTTTCACAATCCTCCCACAATAGGCGCAACCTAGGCTTACAACCAAGCGGACAGTTTGTCAGGTGATATTTTTGAAAATTAGAAATGATATAGGTCGACCACATATTTAATAATTGACTCGAGCTTAATGGCAGTCGCATAATTCAGAACCAAAGACAAGAAAGATCACACGTCGTCGTTTGTTTAGGATTACATGGAAAGGCTGCTCGTAAACTGACAAACACAGAAATGCATAAGGTGGGTGAAAGACGGGGCAGAAAGGACAGTAGCGCGCAAGTCCAGACAGATGTCAGCTGTTGGGAGCAGACAGGTATGTTGTCTGCTTTTTAGGTCTCTTACTTGGACTAGTTTCCAGCTGGCGACGGTTGCAAAACCACATTCGCACGCTCTCGCGCTCGTAGCCTAATTCAGAAGCCAGCTTGGTGAGTTCAGAGCCTGGTAGAAATAAAATAGACATAAAAGAGACTACTATGTCCGTATAAGTAGACAGCACGAGCGACATGATAAGATGCCTTACCCCTAGGTATAGGGTTTCGGTCAAAGTGGGCATTCAAACGGCGAACGGCGTCCACTGAAAAGAAGGTGCGCGTTTTTCTCCTCCTCCTGACCGGGAGAGAGGAAACATCTTCCAGCTCATCAGTGTTGGTGTTCGAAGTTGGCTGTTGCTGCGGATCCGCCGGGCGAACCTCGTAGTTAGCTTCGGGCATAGAGCGACTTACGTCTAACCCTCGGTTTTGGTGGTCCCGCAGATCCAGCAAGGCAGTCTCCATAACTGATGCACATGAGGAGCCATCAGATGCTGAAAAGGGCTGGCGAGTGGGGGGAGAATAAGGATTCGCGAAAATTGTATATTAAGAGGGGCAAAGAGAGTTAGAGCTGTTGGCTTAAGTTTGCAGGCTGCTATAAGACAGTCATGCCCAATAGTTTTGAGCCTGGGAAGAAGGTGGGGTTTGCTGGGACAAGCTTGCTTTCGGTCTGATGTTTTGGATAAGTTGTCTGTCTTTGGACACTGAGACGACCCAAAATCACTGGGATGCAATAAGGCAGGCCACGTTGATCCTCTGGCGATTACCTTTTTGCTGGCTATGCTAATTATCTAGATCGATAACTGCGACAGAGGCGGATGCACCTGTGCTCGCAAGGATATCCTAACTGCGCGGATAATATTCCGACTCAAGTATTAGTCTGTGCAATCAGCGTAGCTAGTGAGATGAAAACTGAGGAACCCACACTGGCAATTGAACGATTTTTACGCTTTCGCGTCTTCGAAAAAAGTTAGTGGGCCGAGCTGCCGACATGTCAGGCAAAACGCAAACTGATTACACTTTAATTTGACCCAACTGTGAAAGACAAGGTGACCTCGGTGGGATTCGAACCCACGACGGCAAGGGGAAGGCTTTGGTATAGTCCACGCTCGAGCCACATGAGCTACGAGGTCCCACCGAGTTTTTCACAGATGAGTCAAAATAAATTACTAAAGAATCTGCCAGAACACCTATTGATTATACTTGGCCTGAAACTAAGGGATGAGCACATAATAATTACCGCCGTACGACTTTTTAAGCTGGACGTAATAAGTTCAGCAGGGTAAAAGCGCAACGTTCACATCTGCCAGTTTGCTAGTATATAGCAGTACCTTGCACTTGTGATCGGAATGTGGCAAGGCGATTCTTAGTGTACGTCAAATGCACTACGTGAAGGCATTTCGGCAGGTGTGAACGTTACATCGTTACTCTACTGAATTGAATAACAGGTCGCATGAAATCCTGAGCCGCACCTAAAAAACCGTGTGCGAAAGACCTTAGCCAAAGTCTGAAGATTTATTTCAGGCGCAATTACAACTTTAAAATTAAGACACGTGATGCCACACGCGAAGGCTGGAGGATCACCGATGAACCGAAGCCCTCGCGTCCAAAATAACGTGAAACGATCAGCTATTAATTAAAAATAAACTCGTTCCGGCATGCTCACTCATCTTATCATTAGTTAAGACCATTCATGGAAAGCACCTGCTAATGCTCACTCGCAGTACAATCAGGGAAAGTCTGAAGGAATCTGGATTTCATCTGCAAAAGGTCGTGATAACGCTGTTGTTATGTAAGCGACTGACTGAAGAATGTTTCTATTTGCTAATGACTACGTTGGTCATCAACCTTCATCCTCGATGTGTGTTTACTTCTGTCATGAGGTCTTATTTTTAGACATGCCTATGGAGGGGGTCCGGGTGGGAAGAATCTCCCACGAGGACGCACCGTGTCAATTACAACTTTCAAGAACTTTCGACGCCTGATGGTCTGAGTGGCCAGAAAGCTTGCATGGCGGCCGATCTAGCGATCAACTGCAGACACAATAACTTTGCAGGGTAATGCCCCCATAAACCGCCCAAAAGAGATGTGATTTGATATGCGCTGGAATAAAGCATCCGACTAGTGTGGCTCATGAACATAAAAGTTCCATTAAGGCGCATTTCTAACTTGACGAAGTGCCGTGAGCAGTTCAGCTGGCATTACTGTGAAGTCTGTGTACGGTAGTGGAAGGCTGATCACTAGTTTTAAAGTTGTGGTCGTAGTTCTGCCTAAAAAGGAATTAATCTAAAGCGCGGGATTGTTGACAGTTCATTTTGCGATTTTAACGTACAAACGCAATGGCAGAATCGTGCAAATGTTCTGAGGACGATGAGTGATGCAACTCAAGTAGGAATATATGCGGCGTCAAGAGGGACACCTTTTCTAGGACAGTCACATAGCCATGGCAAAACGGACGCACATTTGAATGTCTTGTCGTGGAAAAAGCTGTTAGTGCGCGGGCGACAGAATAAAATTGTTATTCTCTTTGTCTCAGAGTAATTTCTCTGCAAACCGAAACGTCGTCCTTCACTGCAATTCTTCTTGAACACTAAACCTTTAACAATTGCATTGTAAGCAAGGTCATTTCCATACAAAAAACCCAAGTTTCTCGAATGTATCAATGTGCAACACGTTTCTGTGTTTTACGCATAAGCAAGTCAATTCTGTTTGGATGCCCTTCCTTAATGCCAGCTGCAGGAATGTGATAACGTCTACGACTATAACCTAACTTAATGCACAACAGATAGTCTCCCCACCAGCAGCCTTCAAACCATTCTCATTCATGCCAGCAGTCCCAACCTCAATCCAACTGAAAAGGTTTCCGCACTTATCAAAAGAAACAGGCGCAACGCAAAAATGAGCTTCTCAAAGCGAGAAAATGCCGACCACAGACACTTTTGATGTTTGCCTGACAGAACGACTAGTGCATTACATGCCCAAGGACGATCAACCGAGTGCTGATATTCTGTATTTGCTAATATTTAACAATATTACTCCCTTTTGGCGAACCTCTCCGCTGCTCTGTGCGTTTAAATGAAGCCTTAACTTACTTGTAGTGGTACCCGTCTTCTGAATGTCTGGTTTTCGGTAAAAGGAAATACGAAATATCAATCTATAAAAAATTATGCCTCCCATTGAAAAAAAACGTCCGTTTCCCCAGTGTTAAGTAACAACGGAGGGCGCGGCGCGTGGCTTCTAAATTGCAGGGATTCCCTTGCATAATTATTAGCCGTTATGCTACCACACACGAGGCTATAGATTAAGCACCCAAGCGCAATGGGGCCAGCTTGTCCCGTGACCCGGCCAGTGAACGTAATCCTACCATAAATGAAGTCTGCTGAAGAGTTTTTGACTCGGATCCAACATCAAGAAGTGGAGACTGACGAAGTAACGGTGTCGTTTGACGTGGTCTCGTTGTTCACCTCTATTACGCCCGGTATGGCTATCAGCACTGTCGACAGTCTTCTCCGAGAAAAGTAAGATGAAACCGACCAGCACCTCAAGCGAGTGCACATCATCGAGCTCCTGGAACTGTGTCTTAAAACTTTCTTCACACTTAACTGTCAGGTTTACGAACAGAAGAAGGGGACAACGATGGGCTCCCCTCTGCTTGGATTAGTTGCCGAAGCGGTTTTGCAGAGTCTCAAGTGGCTGGTCTTCAGCTCGTACTCCCCGAAGTTCTGGGTCAGGTACGTCGATGACACTTTTGTCATCACGTGCCTTGTTTTCTTCCATACAACACGATTTGGCGATTGAATGAGTAACCCAACGCAGCAGGTTATAGAACTGCTAAATTTTTGCCTTAGGAACTATTGTCAATTTGATAATAGGTACTATCAACAGGTAAAGGGAACCCCGATGGGCTCACCAATATCAGGACTGTTCGCCGAGCTAGTTTTGCAGCGACTAGAAGAGATAGTTTTCCAAACTATCAAGCCTAAACTATAGCTTCGTTACGTTAACGACACCTTTGCCATGATAAAGAAGGGCGAAGTCGAACGTCTTCACCAGAGACTGAATGACGTCTTTCCAGCCATACAGTTTACCCGAGAAGAGACAATTGGAGACAGCTTGCCGTTTGTGGACGTGAGAATACAGAAGTTGAGCGATGGTAGCATGGCAACAAGCGTGCATAGGAAAGACTCTAACTCCGAGACTATCCTCAACTATGGAAGCAACCACCCTGCAGCCCACAAAAGAAGCTGCGTCCGAACTCTGTTCCACCGGGCCTACCGTTATTGTAACAGCAACGATCTCCTGAACAAAGAGCTTGCTCACCTGTATCGGTTATTCCGCTCTAACGGATATCCGATCAGTTTTGTAAAGAACTGTCTCAGGCACCAGAAGCAGTCGCAAGACCCCACCCCCAACGGAGGGATAGTGACGCGAAAATTCTACTCCTTGCCATATATGCGTGGAACTTCCGAAATAATCGCCCGGCAGTTCAGCCGCTTGGGTATTCACGCTGCCCACAAACCGGCATCTTCACTACGCGCAGCACTATCTCGAGTGAAGGATCCCATCCCCAAAGAGCAACAAACGAATGTAATTTATCGCATCCCGTGTGCTAATTGCTCTTGCATGTTGGCCACACAGGTTGATGCCTGGGCACCCGTATCAACGAACACAAACTAGCTATCCGTCGGCGAGACCCCCTGTCCCTCGTCTTTGCCCATGCACTCGAGTACAACCACCGATTCAATTGGGATGGCACTGAGGTCATCGCCATGGCTAACACAAAGCGAGCGAGGGAATTTCTCGAGGCTTGGTACTCCAATGCGGGTAGTATCAACCGCCACGTTGACTTAGATGCCCATTACGAGGGTCTACGTTCACGAATGACTGCCCCCTGCCCTAATCACGCATCAACGACCGCGAATGCAACCGCCCGCATTCCAACAGATTCACCACCCACCCTCCCCCTCCAGCACGGTGCGCCGTAATTGTTCCGCCTCCTCGCCCTTCCCCGCCCCTCACTCAGTGACCTACCATGACCTCGGGAGCCCACACCCCCTTCCTCACACGTCAGTGGTCTGTTCTGTCCAACTGGTCTACTGTGACAACCTAACTTTCTCCCTCGTTTTTCATTTCGTCTGACGACGGGTTGGTGTCACCAGCTCGAAAATTCACGCGTACAACTCGACTTTTCCGAAGAACCTCTTCTATTTTTCATATATATATATATACATATGGTAGGGTATGGTATATATATATATATATATATATATATATTGTGGTAGGGGGCGCTCACCGATCGGTGAGCGCCCCCTACCACTGTATACGATCGGTGAGCGCCCCCTACCACTGTATATTCCCGATCGAAAACCGACAAGGCAACGGGCTCGTGGCCCGGTGAGTAGAGGCGTTGACTTCTAAACCAACAGGTCGCGAGTTCGAGGCTCGGGTGTTCCACACTTCGGGCTTGGGTGTGGCTGGCTGACGACGGCTAATAAGCCAGAAATGGCCATTCCAGTCTCCCTTGTCTTTGTCGGCAATACCATTCTGCCTATATATCATGCGCCGCTGTGCGGCTGCTGGTTGGGCTCGAGAGAGAGAGTCCATAAGGCACAACGGAACGAGTGAGTTCCGTATGAACGATCGGTGAGCGCCCCCTACCATTATATATATATATATATATAATGACAGATGGGCGCTCACCGATCAGGTTACAGAACATGCTCGTTCTGTTGTGCCTTGGGGCTCATACTTAAATCCTCGCAGGCAGTAGCTCAGAGGGGGTATGCATTCCGAGGTGATATAATGAAAAATAGAAGAGGTTCTTCGGAAAAGTCGAGTTGTGCTCGTGAATTTTCGAGCTGGTGACACCATTGAATAACTGAAGTAGTATGCATTCCGAGATGATATGATGAAAGGAGAGAGTCAGTCAATACAGAATGACGCACACGGCGGCCGCTTACCGGCGCAAACGCCAAATTAACATCGATTTTTCAGCACGTTTGAAATGTTAATTGTTTTTTGCACATTTCCTCAAGTCTGACGACAATCTGGGAAGCCAGCGTTGGAAATTTAATTGATCAAGTTTTCTAATTTTCCCAAATAACGTGTTTGCCTTAAAAACATAAGTACATATGATGAATAACGTTACCGGCCATGTGCATGTGTGTGTATAACACTATACTGGCATGTTGTATACCTGCGCGATTGATGTTGTGGGCCGTGGAGCGGCAGGGACGGTATTAGAAGAGAGTCCAACACGTGCATCAGCGGAACAGCGAGACTTCCCTACAGCTTTTCGGTCGGAGGCGATGAGGAGATTGGAGCCTGCCTGAAGCTCCGCGCGTTCCAGCCATCGTCGAAGGTAGGGCTGGGAATTTAGGGCTGTCCTCAGCGTTACATGCATCTTCTCAAACCTGAAAGGAAGCGGAGTGGATCAACAGGGCCGAATGTTAAATACTTGTGTAGTTTACAAAATGTAAACGTTTAGAGAACCAGAACCCAGTTCCACAGCCTCGTACCTGCATATGAAACTCTGACTGAAGCGCAGTTGGTCGGAAAAGCAAGATGAAAGTTGCTGACACAATTGACTTTGTGAGAGGGCCATTTTACGACGAAAATGGCGAAGCCTTTCGGCAAAGGCGACGAGTTCTGATAGATTGTGCCCTTCCACACACAATGGTGCCTGGTCGCCGTCTCTAGCTCGGACTTTCTTGAGCAACAAATGGACGGGCTGGCTCAACAAGTCCCCGCCATGAGCTACTGACTCAGACTCCGAGGCAGAAGTGTTGATGAACGGCGGCGAGATGGAAGAGGTACGGCCGGTGTACCTAACAGAACAATCGGTGGTCTACAGAGACTTGCTGGGAGAGGGCGGCGATAGGACATACCTGATCCAGTGTGAGCGGCGACTGCCTAAACACGAGGCTGCCGTTGACGCGCTCAGTGGTGAAGTTTGCCAAAACAAGATGGCCTACATAAACGTGTCGCGAAAAGGCGACAAGCTAGCTGAGGGGATGGGAAAGGTGGCATACCTGAGGCTGAAAGATGGAAGGGCACCTTATCTGAGCCCGGCAAAGTAATGACGCTAGCAGGCAGGGCCAGCACGTCTGGAGCCAATTGGCTCACGATGGTTGGATGAGGTGCTGGAGGGGGCGGGAGCGAATATGATGGTGATGTGTCGCTAAGGACGGAAAGGTCCAGGGCAGAATCACTATTCGCTAATCTGGCATTCATGTTCTACTTCCTAGAAAGAGGCAAAAAGGAAAGTTAGAAATCGAACACAAAGGGTTCAATATTACTTATCATTGTTTCAGGTGTTTGCGGTTGTATTGGACGCACAGAGCTGTCGGTCCCTTGAAAGTTCGGCATTACAGCGCCTGGAATCATGCTAGCGCGGCGAAAAATCGGTGACCTATTATGCGCGGCTATTTTGGAGAGTGTTCCTGGGAACCGCTCGATCGAACAGGCAGATATCGCCTGGTCCTACTTTTGAATTTCATTAAGTAAAGTCAGTAGTCCACAGGTATCGATCAGTCAGATCTGACCGATCTCCGGGCGGCTGCACCAGCAATGCGTGGATCAGATGTTGTAAGGATGTCCACTTAAATTTCATAAGGTCAATTCATCACACTTTTTCCATAAAAAGACGCAGATATACTTTGCAGCGGAAACGTAATAGGTCATTCGAGAACTTCATGGCAGATTCGCCGGGTTGGCGGTCATAACTGACGGATTCGTCCTCTAAGGCGTCTCTAACAGTCACTGAGAGAAGCAGTGTGGATCACTTGGCGGCAAGTTGGCTAGATTTCCGGTTTCAAATGCTCCAAGCAACTGTGGTGATGAGCATTTCGGGATTTCCTTGTTGGAGTACACTATGCGTACAACTAAGGAAGCCTGAGACATGCAGGGAAATCCCACTTTTCCTGTACGAAAAGGATGATAGAAAGGATGAAATCGCTGAAAAGTGACCGAGAATCGGAACTACTTTATTATGTTGAAGTGACAAAAATGTGCGGTACTGTACCACAGTGGAGAATTTGGCCATTTTCATGCTCACAAAGGCCAACCAGGCCAGTCCATCAGGAATTTGGTGGAGGACCTGCTGTGCTTCCGTTGTGAGGCCTTCCAATCTTTCTCGTTAGTCGACCGTGGCGACGCGGCCCTACATCTAACCAAAGGTACCTCTGTGACGACTTGCAAAGTGCTATCAATTGCACCTGCGGATCTGGCACAACAGTGTCATTCAAGTCGGGCAGCCAGCAGCAATCGTTTGCTTTTTGGAATTTTGACAAGAATAAATATACCTGAGCGGGTAGTACGAGCGATGAAACACCAGAAAAATCAATGGCTCAGGTATGTCAACAGACCCTGTTTTCTCCTATTTCCGTAAGTCCCCCACACTCCTATATGGAAGTTTGGACGGATCTACGTGCTGCTAAGGTCATGACACAGGAACCCCGGGAAGACGAGCCCTGCTCATTTATCTAGCTGTGGACCACTTGGCGCGTTCAAGAGTGGTGGTAGGCGGAATGGTCTTCAGCGAAGGCTAGACCCGAAATAGGCAATTTCTCAGTTCTGGCGAATAAGCAGTCACAGAACCTCGCAGACATGCACCACCAGCCATTGACTAGGGGTCGAAGTGCGCGGCTATCTCAACATTGGGTGCACTGCTGTTTACTGAAATGTTAAGTATCTTAACCAAAGAATCGGGTGTGTGTTCGCACTAAAGTATTGTTACAGGCGCTGCTACAGAAAATCAAGGACACTTTCGCACGAAGCGAGTATCCCTTGGGCCACGCCCAACGCCTTCGACATTTGATTGGTACAGGTATAACCAAGTTAGGTTATGAACTCTGCGATGTACTGAACCTCACCTCTAACAGGAGGATGACTTACTAACTGCGATGACAACCAGCCGAGTTAACTCGGCCGTTGTCTGCTGTTTCAGTTTTGTCCTCATTTATTCTGAATACTGTCCAAAATTCAAAGGGAGACTGGTGTGTGACGTCTGCGGGCAGCTATTGGTCCGGAGGACAATAACGACTCTGATACAGCCAAAAAGGTAGTGGGTGGGTCGGACGCACAAAACACATCCGTATGAAGCTACCTATGGTGTTCACGTAGACCATTAAGGCCCGTAATTCGGGCATTTGTTCGTTATGTAGTACGATGACAAGCAGGGCAAAAGCCTATCTTTCTATTGGTTACGCTATATGCAACGTAGTCACGGGCAAAACTTTCGGCTTCTCCACTGATTCCAACTCTACTGCCATCAACAGGGACTTGCACCTCGGATGCTCACGTCCTCGAGCCACAGGAAGTACGCTAATTCGCACACACCTAAGTTCAAACTACGACCGATAAAAATATTCTCTATAGACAAGCCAGCGAGATCTCATACCACAGAGAGCTCGTTCGGTGTTACCGCCAGTACCTCTGTGATTCTACCTCATTTACGACGGCAGACGTCACCAGACTACAGCACCGCAAACGGCAGGCAGACCTCACTCTAGAACACCCTGATAAGGTGAGGCCGCATGGTCACCAAAATCAACACCGCTCGCGGGTTTCGCAAACCTTAAGCGTGTCTATGGGCCTGTCGCACTGTTCACAGCCACAAATATCCGTGTGCACGGGACATCTGTCCAGACAGTCCTGTACGGCTGTGAATGCTGGGCTGGGCGTGATGGACGGATAAAAGCTGCGGACAAGTGACCACCGTTGCCTGAGAACTTTTCTTCGAGTGGAGTACACCAACTTCGTCGAAAATTAAATTTAACACTCTCTGCGACACAGCGTTATCCACTGTTCACTCTATCAGTTCAATGCTGCTGTCATTGAGTGGACACTAATGCCTACCTGGTGACATCGAAGACGTCAAGCCAAAATCTGACCCAAAATAGTCCTTTATAGTATGGAAATGGCTCTTAAACCATCGACATTTGGTCTACGTCGGTTCGAAAGAAAGTGGATCGCTGTCCAGGTGCACTAGTAGAGAGAGGTACAGTCCGCAATATGAACTAGATATGACCACGATCGCATCAGATACAAGTACGACTTCCCATCGCGTCCGCCGAAAAGTTCCCATACTACCTACTCACCCTTTACCAGAACCCTTGAACAAGGTTTTACTCGGAGAAACGGCATTACCCATGAAACTTCAGACGAAGTTCCTTCTTAAACAGAAGAAAATTACGGCAAAAGTGAAAAGAAAAGGCAGGTTTTCAAAATTCAAACGAATGTCATACCCGATTTAAAAATAGGTGGTGGTTTGTTTTTGTGCTTCAGTACCAATCGCAGGCTGATACATTCAATTGTTCGTAGCAACTCACAGCCTTAAGCCCTGCAAGCGCCTGGACTCAGTACTACTTTCATCTAGTGCAATAGCTTCGAGCTCCTGGATTTTTGTGCCCATCCTCTTACTCAAAATTACGGAGTCCCACCCTCCGTCTGTCATTATACTAGGGTTCTCACCTATACACAAAGAGCCGGTGGATTACTCAACAGTGACGATGTGAACCAATTATGTTCGATCACAAAAGCGTCCGAAGACTCCCTCGACGTAACGAGAGAAGCAGCTAGTGAATGAGATGAACCACCGTTTTTGGATCTGTGGACAAGATTACATGGTGCTGTAAGGCAGAACAACATTTCTGTCCATGCCGTGATGCGAAAAGTTATCTAAGACTTAACACGCTCGTGTGAAACGGGCTTTTCTCTTACGTCAGCAGGGGGCGGATTTCACCGGATTAACCTCGTTAGGAATGGCCACGTAAGGCAAAAACACAATCAGACACTAGTGAACTTAAGGATATTTTTGAAAATGGACCGTGTAGTGAAACGCTCCAAAAGGAAAAATTGCCTGAAGAGAATAACGGCAAGATAAAGTAGGGGTGCAATGAGACAACGCCTTGAGACCGGATTAGATCCTTTAATGGGGCTCCTCATTGAGCAGTAGATTCCTTAATATCCTTCCGCAGACAGGAGTGAGGGTCTAGAGCAGCTAAAGGGGAGTGGGGTGGAACATGTGGCTTGAGATTCCTGTTAATAATCGTGACCAAAGTCACAAACCAAATTCAGGTCGAAAACTGCAAGGCATCTCACTTAAATAACGGCATATCCCGATCGCGGCTTCTCGGTTGGGTCGTTTCCTGACATGTTAGTAATTCTGCTTCTTATACCCTATTTGTGTAGCTTGGCAATCGGAAATATGTTCTGCTTCCTGTAAATTATTAAGTGCCTCCAGATTCCATCGTAGTCTCTCAAATCTTTTCGCTCCCCAGCGACCTGAGATCACCAGACGACTATCTATATACTAGGCACGCTAGCGATAAAATAGCTGTTCAAAATATGGAAACGAAGCTGGTGTCTACCTTCTTAAGATTTGCATAATGACCCAGTACAGTGGTTGGGAAACGGTGTTTATATTCAGAAGTCCGTTCAGTTTGTCTTTCGATTGCGCCAAACTATCATTCCTGAATGCTTCGACATTCACCCCAGTGAAGTGCCTTATTTTCGGTGCCAGGGTGTTGCGCTGGCCTCTAAACGCTCATTGTCGCTTAATTTTGAGGTTTTTTCAACAAAACCAAAAAATGGATCACTACACTCGAAGTCCTCTTCTCTGTCGTGCTCCTTATCCCATAATTTGGTAATCCCTTCTCCCATCTAATGTTCACCGTTGTTCTTCCTGCTTTACTAATGAAGGACATGCTAACTTCAAGACGTGTCCTTTGGATGATGCCAGTTTTTTTATTATTTCTTTTAGTTGATGGAATTATACGACATTTTACAACGGTCAGGCAATTTCCCGATCGGACTGTTGATCACCTTTCCCATACTCTCTACTTTGCCCTAATTGCCGCGAAATCCCCCCACGAAACCCGGCGTGCCTTACGTCATATCCTCTGCCTTGATATTTTGGCAGATTTTGAATAATTCATATTGACCCAACTGTGAAAAACTCGGCGCCTCGGTGGGATTCGAACCCACGCAGTAAGGGGAAGGCTTTAGCGCAGCCAACGCTCTAACCACCTGAGCTACGAGGCCCCGCCGGACGACGCGAGTTTAATCACATTTGGGTCAAGTTACCCGCCCAACCTACTGCGACGTCTGGAATCAATGAATAGCGCGAGCCTGGTAGTCATCTGGTGGATTCTAGGTGAATTACTTAGGAAATCCTGCTTGGGCAGTCAACTTACTGTATCAGATTTGGTGGATTCTAGACGTTGCAGTAG